TCCCTTCAGCAGGAATGGGACACTCTAGGCGACTACTCGTATCCTGTGACCCCGCCGTCACACGACGTGACAGCGGGGCTTCCCGAATCGCCCCGAGTCGTCCCTACCCTGCTCTCTATTGCAGATGCACCACCTGCTCTGCCTGCTAGCCAACTCCCCAGTCATGGGGGGTTGAACCGTCTTTCCCACACTTGTCAGACTGGCAGGAGACCATCACGTGGGCCCGGGCCGGCCCCCTTCCTGACACATCCAGACAAGTTTTGCTGAGGTCACAGTGATGTTAATGGAATGCTCTGAGGGACCTCAGCACCCAGACTCCCACTGACATACCAATGGGTTGGTGGTGTAGGCCTGAGTTCAGCGCAGTTACACCGTGTCTGTAACACCAACCAGACTCACAACTAATTACAGTACAGGATCCTAGTAGATATCCGAATGTCCTTATACACCCACCTCAATATCCAATACTCAATCTATAGATCTCACTATTCATGTAAACCTGTTTTATATCTAATCTGTATTTGAATGTGTGCCCCAATTCATCCTTCAAGAACATGCAGAGATCAATCAGAGTATGTGTTTAACTAGGTGTATAATATTATATTACAGTGTATATACCTTTGTAACTGCATTTTATATATTTTGATCTATGATTAGCCAGCCAATGTAATAGTAGTTATATCTATAATGGAGAATAACAAGAGATTACATTTATAAAATGACCCCTCTGTATGCTTCCTACCTTATCTTTATCTCTGTCACAGAGAAGACCCAGCCCGTCTGCTCCAGCGCTGGTGTCGGGCTATCATGGGCCCGCAACATACAGCACATGACAACAGGGAACAGGCGCCCCAGTAGGAGGAACACACATGTGGGAAGCACGTGACCAAGAACGACATGTCGAGCCGTTGACGAGCCCAACTCAATACCAGGGGACTGGGGAGGAGTACTAGGAGGTTAGGAGGAGCACCTGGCCCACAAGGGATGTATGATTGTCCCCTCTGCAGCCAGGAACGAGGGCGAGGAGGATCAGGAGAGGCTAGGATGTCCGATCACCCCTTTGTGGACCCACATATATATAATGCACGATAGTGTACCATGTACTCTATCGCTTAGATCGTCTGAAGAACTACTTCTCTCCGTGCAAGGAGGAATCACTGACTCATCGGGCCCGGCACGACCCAATTCGAACCTTTGATCACCAACCACGCCAAGGGACCCAGTCAACAGGCCCTTTTGGTGCCGACCGGCCGACCCACCCACTCATTCTGCTTGCGGGCCCGACAATCTGTCTGTTCTGTTCCGGGCACACGTTCTTAGAAGAGACCTTGCACTGCCAAGATTTTGTATATCATCTCATTATTCTGTCTGATCCAATTTGAAAAAGAAAACAACAAAAAGCAGTATAATAGCACAAAGTTGAGGTAAAGGACCATATCCTCACATCAGAACGTATCAAGACCAGATGACTGTTGACCTACCAGTAAAAACAATTATTTGAATTTATCCAGAACTGATAGCAATATGGCTGGATGATTGCCGTTTTCAGAAAAGTTGGCACCACAGGGTTGAGAATATTTTTTGACAAATTTGGACCTTGTGATAATTAATTTGTTTCTCTGTCATTGCTAACCTGATGGACATAATTCAAACACATAAAATCAGCGTTTTGGCGGGGCAATTTCATTACCCAACTTCCACCATCAAATTACCATATATAGATATTGCTTGATCCGCCCCCCCCACTGACCTGATTGAGTCATTTCATGCAGACCAATTAAAATAGTTTAACCACATATTCAATGGTAGGTCGACTTCGCATATCTATACCATGTGCCCGCTCAAAGATTAGCCCAAACGCACATGATTTGAGCGACAACAATTCATTACAATGATGGATTACATACATGTGACACTCATGCTTTGCTCCGAAAGCATAACAAACCGCCCCCTGATGACGAAAGCAAGCAAGGGCAAGCCCCACATGGTTGAAATTCTTCATTCTGAGAAGGAAGAGGCGGATAACACAGATGAAGGTGAAGAGGAGGAAGTTGAGTGTTTGTTTGAGGATAGAGCTCATGTTGGCCTTAGAGCTCCAGTGGTTTGACGAGTGAAGAGGATGATGGCCCGGGTACTTATGAGGGAGGTGCAAAGCGGAAAACACGAGCCCGACATGTAGCCGAGCTGTCGCCACAGCGCAAGTGCGAAGCACATGGTGGATAGTGTGTGTCGATGGGGGAAAGCCGCCAGCATGTTGCAGTGTCCCATAAAGACCTGGAAAAGTGGGGGATAATCATGGCACGTCTAATAAAGCTGATCTATTGCGGATTTTGGCAGTTAACTGTCCGGTATAGTACAAAACTGAATACAAGTCATATATTGTTCCACCACCAGAGCTCAGTCTTGGAGTTCCACCGCCTCTGCCGCCTCACGCACGAACTCGGCTCCACCTTACAGCTACCCACCTCCAGGTCCATATCCATATTATGGCGCCCCATATGGCCTTCCTCCACCTCCTGTGGCTCCTCTTCCATTGCCACCTGCAAAGCATGACACTGTGTCATCACCAGCAAACACCAAAAATATGGCTGGCAAAACAGAGAATCTACAGAATTCATGTATGGGTCAAAGATTCAGCTAACTCACCGTTTGCCACGAATGAAGAAGGCTTTTTGTATAGCATGCTGGCCACAAATCGCCCATGCCTTCCTGCGATATGTTGTGCACTGATCATATGAGCTTTCATTGACAAACACAAGCTGATATGGCTCAAAGTGCTATGATATTTTCAGTGTGTAGGCTGCGCGTTTAATTGCACAGTGCTCAATTGCTTGTCGAGTAAGCTAAAATTGTGTGACAAGAGATTGGACTCCAAATTTGTTTGACAAACTTTCTTCATAGTGTAACCCTGACATTGAAGTGACCGCCAGACAGTGGGCAGTGAGACAAACTCTCTGCAGACCTGTTGAAGAGCAGTCTGAAGTTCATCTAGATATTGGTCGCAACTGTAGTTCAGACAGCCAAGCAGAAACTATGAAAACAGATGATGAAAGCAATGAAAGAGACGAGAGAGAGGCCTACGGAAACAGGGCCACTGGATAGCTGCCTCAAACGTCCATGTGTTTCCAGAACCTTGGGCGAAAGAACTCCACCAGTTGCTCAGAATCGAGCCAGGATGTGCCGTATTTGACGTTTGCTGACCGTGGTAAAGTCGACAATTTGCTGAATAGGAATGCAGGTGTACATGCAGACAATCGTCCAAGCCAGCTTTTCAGGAATTTTAGTACCCTTTCCCATGTTTACTGTGGATAGCAATGATGGCGGAAGGGAAGAGCGAAGCACAAGTGTCACATGTATGTAATCCATCATTATAACAAATTGTTCTCGCTTAAATCATGTGCATTTGGGCTAATCTTTAAGCGGGCACATGGTATAGGTATGCAAAGTCGACCTATCGTTGAATATATGGTTAAACTATTTTAATTGGTCTGCATGAAATGACTCAATCAGGTCAGTGATAGGGTGGATCAAGCAATATCTATATATGGTAATTTGATGGTGGAAGTTGAGTAATGAAATTGCCCTGCCAAAACGCTGATTTTACGTGTTTGAATTATGTTCATAGGATTAGAAATGACAGAGAAACAAATTAATTATCACAAGGTCCAAATTTGTCAAAAAAAAATGTTCTCAACCCTGTGGTGCCAATTTTTCTCAAAACAGCAATAATATGCCTGATGAATAACAATTAGATAGCATAGATAGACTAATAATATTATATTAGCAGGAATATTGATATCACTGTTTAGGTATCCTCAGTACTTCTTGAATTAACTCTGTAGCTATTCTAATTATACTTACATCATTTCATCAGTTATATGGTGCGGCTCACTGTGTCACATCCAAATTGGGACAGCTGACTAAGCCGCTCAATGCAAAAGTCCGCACTTTTCTGGTAGAGTTCATGTCATACTTGATACTGGGATTATATAAGCATGCTCATTCTGCAGGTCTTAACTTTTTCATTTTTGAGTATTTTAACAAGTGTCTTATAGAATTGAGGCCTAATATAAGTGTTTTTATTAGAGGGATTGTGTCACAAACAATACCAAATCAGAGGATGCCAGTTGGCCAGTGAAGGCAAGCAAGAAGCGCCATGAAAGGATATCATAAAGATGATGGGATTCGAAGACTGGGGTACAAGACAAAATCTACTCTACTTATACACACTACTCCCATGTGTTTACCATGCCTAATATGAGAGGCAATGATATCATACTTTAGCCATGCCTTTACATGCTGTCTGCCTCATGTCCAACTCCACGCTGTCAATCAACATCAGCATCAACATCTGATGATCCAATCACCATATTATCGTCCATCTTATCTCCTCCTTGTCTTATCTTATCAACCAGGGCCAAAATAAAAGGTTTAAAAGGCAAAGAAAAAGGTTTCTTGAACCCAGGGTTTGACAGATTGTCTGCCAAGATATTCCTTGCCACCCAGTGAGGCTGTCAATTCAATGTCCTAAAAATGGAGGAAGCCACTCAAAGCTGGATGTTTATAGCAGAAATAAAGATCTCAATCGATACCCTGGATTCTGGAACAAGGGCACTGATTGCGGCCCACTGGATGATTGCCTTATATGGTAATTCCTGGTTACATGAACCCGGATCTGGGCCTCTGATTTGGGGGCAATTGGAGGCCTATTTTTGGCACCTGATTTCTCACAATAAAATTCAGCTTCAGGTTACTAGTACTGTTTACTGTTTTTGCATGAAACCCTGATAAGGGTGTTGAATGAACAAGTTACTTCCTGGCATTTGGATTGGCAATATTAATTGCCACTGCACTTAGCAGATAGTCTTTGGCACACTTCTGCAGGCTAAAGTTCATTACCCCAAGTGTTCAAAAGATATATATATATATATGTTCTTCTAGAATTCATAGAGTAGCTTAAGCAAAGCAAAGAATTACATGCAAGAGAGGCTTAACATACTCTAAGTACTTTGGTCAGACTCCCCTGCAGCAGACCCAGCAGTCCATTCAAGTAGGAAAACCTCTGGGTGCAGCTGGACAGTTATTTGTTTCAAACGGGCGCACCGTTCAATTAGTTGTGTCTGCAATGACTGGGTAGTTGGAAGAGAGGGGAGAGTTAGGCCTTCTGGAGTTGGACATATCAGAGTGAACTTCAAATGGGTCAAGCTCGGCGGAAGGAGCGACGGAAGTCCACTAATGAAGTCAGATATCTGGAGGAAATGTGAGAGAGAGGCAAAATGTAGAGATACGGAAAACTGTTACCTGTGCGGTCAAGACTGCTGGCTCCTCCGCCTCCTCAGGCTGGAAGCATCCAGAGCAATTTAAAACTTGCAGCGATGAGAAGGGTAGCAGAAGCGCTGGCCACATGTCCAGTTTCCCTTGGCGGACCCCGTTGAACGTGAGCGTGGTGATCGTAGATGGGATGCGTTTCTCGACGCGTTGCAACACTGCCAGGAGATCGGAGGCATTGTCCTCTGTAATGTGCAAAGTGTTTATTGCAGATCCTGGGAGAAGAACGGGCAGCATCGCACACGGTGTCCGCAGCTCGCGCAAAGCACCAAAATGTTGCAGAGGAGGGCACAGCGGTGGTACAGCCTGGAGCACTTCCTCCTCGGGATCGAATTTCCACGCAGACGTGATATGGAGCCTCTGCAACGCCGGAAAGCAGCGCTTCATAAGCTGCCAGTTGGACTCGCTCAGGTCTTCAAGCGAGTGAAACTGCATGTTGATAGTCGTCACCCGTGGAAGGACTATCTTCTCCGACTCGGAGTCCTCCCCATCCACCAATTCACAGATATTCCAGTCGATTGTACGAAGTGCCTCGGGCTTGCAGACACCCAGCCAACTCCACGGGGCCTTGATATACTCTAGCTTCAAGGCGGACACGCGGACGGTGTTGGCGAGTGCGATGGGGTCGTCGCCTGGGCCAACTTGGAAACAACACATATCGAGCTCCAGCGAGAATGGGCGGGGAACAGTGGCAAGCTTCATCAGCGTGGAGCGGCTGAATATGACTGCATGGGCAATTAGTCTCTGCAGGCGGACGAACTTGGGGAGGGCGGAGAAGAGCAAGTCGCGCGGTAAGTGTGTGCCTTCATCGCCTTGTGAGTCGTATTCCCTGTTGTTCTGTGCCCACACATGCAGCACGCGAACATGCCGCGCAACCCCATGAGACGTGAAGAAGACTATTCTTTCCATGGTTTCGTCGTATTCGTTAGCCCGGCCCAAGAGGCGACGACCTTCACCAGGGGCCAGCGAATGTACGAAGAGACGAGCTTCGCGGAAGAGGAACGGTTGGACAAGCATATGAAGTCGGCGCGAAGCCAGAGCGACCGACTTCAGGTGCATAGGAGGGAGATGTTGCAGCGTTTCGTCAAAGAGTTCGTTGGGGAGCATCGAGCGTCGTGGGTGGGTTCAAGGCGTTGGTGGAGAAAGGGTGAGCGAAGAAGAGTGTGCTGAAGTATGCCACGTAAGTGCTGTACACGTGGTCTCAGCCAGCCGGCGCTATCAGTCCAGCTGTGGCGCGATAGGAAACGGACTGTTTCGTGGCGTGTGCCAAAATGCACAACCTGAAGCTCAGAAGCTGCCAGCACAAAAGCCGACGTTCCAATACAGTGAACCTCCAAGTCAACTCGGTATCGCCACCGTAGCTCCGTGAGGGTTGAGTCTTCCGAGTTTGGTCGGCAGTCGTCTTGGATAGGCGAACAGTGGTGAAAGCAAAGTTGATTCCAGATCAACTCAGGCAGTCACGGTGTGACACGACTTCTCTCTTGCCTTCATCAAACTTGAAATAAGTTTCCCTTGGTACTCAACATATGCAAGTTTCTAACTGGGCGTCACTTGAAGGTCGGCACTAGTCGGCCATATCCGGTCATTACACATTGGCCATTTTACGTCTTCCCCGATGTGATGTCCAGATGTCTACCACTGGAACTCAACTGCCAGCAAACTGCCAGTGGAACTCGTCAATTCTGTCGCACCTCCGAGTCGGTAGCGGATGATGGACCGACGATTCGTGCTGCAGCCGTGTCAGCCTGGCATGCCATAGTTCTCGAGATCAAGTACCACTCCGAGTCCACAACGACCACGTTGCTCAGCAGCTCAAAACGACAATTTCTTTCAGCCTCGTGGCAGCGTCGTACGCCTATATGCGCTCTTCCTGCATTTCCGATTCCGAACGTGCGTCTTCGCTGGACGTCCCTCCGGGTCGAGCGCTGGTTCGGGGGCCCGGGTTAAACTTACGGCGTACTACTAGTACTAGTACGCAGCCAGCTGTGGCGTCTACTTGTGTGTGTCTCCCAGTGGAAGAGCTCCGAGTCCTGACGCTGGCGGCTGCTCCCGGCTCCGTCCGCTACCAGACCTGTGAACACTTGTGCTGGACAGGCACTACCAATGCGCCGGCGTCGAGTCTGGACTGTCTAGCTTACTAGTAGACTACTACACATAGCTTAGTGGGCTCCCAGTCCGCGGACATTGAACGAACTGGACCGTAATCGCTGGCAATGAAAAGCCGCTCGTGACGTTGAACTCGCCCAACCGGAATCCGCGGCCTGGGCCGCCTGGCACCCCGCTTTCGAGTCTCGACTTGGTCTCGACGACTGTGTCCACTGTCCAGGCCCGGGCGCTGATGCGGCTGCGCATAACCTTCATTGTCAGCCTGAGTGGTCCTTCAAGTCAAGTTCCTGAGCTAGCACATCTGCTTCTGGCAGCGGCGCCCTTTCTCGGCGAGAGTCGCGAGACCCTCCCACTTGCCTGTCACGTACCTTCGCAGCCTGACCCCCGCTCTCGCATCGGATTCGCTCCTGGCAGGAAATCGACGAGGCTCATCGATATCCAGCCCCACTCGGAGCCGCTGGTGATCTGCTGCCTTACGACGCGCCGGGACATCGAGCCCCTCGCTAGCGCTGATGCGATTGCGCTCTAAATTTGAGACTCAGGCTGCATTGAAGTGCGGGTCACGGTCCACACCAGGCGTATGTTCAATGTCTTCAATGTGCGCTGCGACGGACACATCGTCAATACCTACTGACGGCGATCTCGCATCCGGGCACTGTGACCGCACCTGTACACGGGGTTTTCTATAAAAAAAGCCTTCTCATTACCATAGTTAAAAATTTCAAAAAATGCCTCTAATTTATTGCCCCAGCCAAAAGGCAGGTTTTATATAGGGAAATGAGAGATAAAAAAAGGTTTAAATAGTTGAAAGGCCATGTCAGGGTGGGCAGTGTGGTAGCTATAAGGCCCCAGACCTGACGTGTAGGGCTGTAGGCCGTCACCGTAATATACAGCGTACCAAGGGGGGTTCAAGATTCAAATCCCGGATATAGGGTCGGATTTCTTTTTTTCCATCCCTCCGGGACCCCCCTCCCCCTCTCTTACTATATCAGGTAATATATTCCCACGATAAGATAAGATCTTGCATCATGTGACCAATGATGGGATCAAAAGCAGCGCAGAAACTGACATTTTGGCCAAACTTTGCTTGAATACATAGATATATATCTGTTTGTAGACTCACTTTTAGCTCTTCAATACCAGTGATATGCCATGACTGAGCTAAGAATGGTCACCTGCTATCAATGAACAATGTGACAAGATGTCACTCTGCACCTATCCAAGCCCAAGACCTTGATTTCTTCAGTTATGGGGGTGAAACGCGTGAAATCGGAAGGGGAGGGGAAAGGAATGGACAAAAAGGGGACAATGGATGGGAGGGATGGGAAGGAACTGCTGCTAACCCTCACTCACACACACACTAAACCAAACCAAATCCAACTAATGTACCGTAGTAGTCCAGCCAATACAGATGTTCGATGACTAATCGCCAGCTGTTCGGGGGTTCCACTCGGTATACGAGTGTGGCAACCCAGGTATATATGTACGACGTAGGTAGCTGATGTATTTGTGGTTGAAAAGCCTTTCCGCGCAGCGGCAAAGGTCGTGGGAACGTTTCGGCCGGGCGTCGGTCCGGTCTCGGGCTTCAAACAAACAACGTGCTCGACGGCGACGCGGCGTTAACGGCAACGGAACAAACAACTTAGATAGCTTCTCAATATAGTACCCCACACGGGGTCGTTCGATCGATCGTAGACGTGACGGGCAATAGAAAACCCCGCCCCTTTGGACGCAGGCCTGACTGCAACTCTGGGTAAGAGTTCAATGTCTATATACTACAGCGGCGCCCAATATATACCTCTCCCGTCGTCGCGGACAGCCTCCGCAGTGCCCTCCGTCTCCACCACCGCCTCTGCGTTGCTTAGCGCCTCGCTGACTCGCGCTGACTCGCGATGAGTCACGCCCGGCTCCGTCATCACCCGTTCCGTTCCGAGCCTGACTCAGACCGGGCTATGCGCTGGCTGTGTGCTGACTCGAGCCCGAAGCACAGCCGTCCTCCTTCTACGGCCTCTCTCGCGACCTCGCGCCTTCTTTTCCCACATCCCAACTGGCTCTCGTCGACTGTTTGTGGTGTTTGCGCCACCCTACGCGTTGAAGGTGCGTCATGTCCCCATTTCAAAAATTCTGAGTGTCCTCACTCAGGCTCAGCACTGCACTGCTGTCGACACACCCTGATCCGGCTACTATTTTCATGGCAACAGCAATCCTGTGTGTTGCTCTGCAAATCCTATAACTTAACTGGGTCGGATCTTCGTCACACATGGAGATGTCCTATCCAACCTATTTCGACTCTGCTGATTTTGCGGTTGACCCGCGGTTCCCTTTCGTCAAAACACCTTCGCCAACCTCTCCGATCTATCCAGGATTTCGAGTACCTCCCCCATCTATGCTTCTGGAAGCCTCAGTCGGACCGAACGGTGAGACTGTACTCCCGCGTATTCACGAACATCCAGCTGCCGCCAATTCCTCTGATGTTCAACGCGCTATTCGCTGGCGTACCACGGTCAGTCACTCTTTTCTCACACTCGCTCTGTCTCAGTCCCTTGCCAGGTTCTGGCTAAGTGTGCGTACTGTATCACCTACGACCTTCCTTGCCGTTTTCGCATAAACGGTATTTCTTGCTCAAATTGTCTCTTGGCGGCTCACGATAACTGTTCGTTCACCAACGCGGCTTTCTTTATGGATTCTTTGCGCGACTGGCGGAAGGATGAGATTACTAGTGTGTGCCGCGAGCTTGTAAAACAGATCGAGGACACTGCGCAATTAGGTGTGTGGTCTTTTATCCATATTCTTCCATCTTACATCCTCAGCCATCTGTTTCAATCACGCAGTTGAGCACACAGATCGTATCGTCCAAGGCGCGATAGCCTTATTTGAGGTGCGTGATCTTTCTTTGTTTGACCAGTTCTTAATAACTGCATAGGCGACCACTCATTCGCTTCGAGGTATTACCGCCGCTGCTTACGCCGACCTCGCTACTCTTTCCAACGAATCTGACCATTTGGGTCGTGTCATTGCGCTGACTCTTGAGTCGCGCTACCTTGATTAGACCACTTCTTTATGATTTGTCGGGCGACATGCCACTTTTTAATTTATTCGGCTGGTCCGATTTTGGCTTATAAATGAGTTTTGAGTCCGTCCCGCGATTGACATGCCCGTTTCTCACAGCTTTTCCGGTTCGCGCGTGCGCCTTTCGCTGCCTAGACCTGAGAACACTACTTCTTCAGATGCTAGCTCTGAAACTTCTGATGCCGCCACCTTCGTAACCGCTCAACCGTGCCCGCGCTGGAAGCCTCAGCCCATCTTGGACCGTCTTCAGCTCTCCGTTGACCCTTCTGGCCGAGTCGCATTTCCCCAAGTCAGCCCTCAACCTTACCCTGCCACCGCTGCCGACGTATCCCGTGCTCTAGCACTCCGTCCTCCAGTGTGCCTTATTTCCTTGCTTATTTCTTGGCTGACTGTCTTGCCTAGATGCCCCATCGGTGCTCTAATTGCGCAGAACGCGGACTCCCATGTCCATTTCGCTTCATAGGTATCCCCTGCAGCCCTTGCGCTGCTGCCGGAATGGGCACATGCTGCTTCATCGATCCCACCATGTTCCTGGAATCTCTCAACGTCTTTCGTGACACAGAAATCTCTGATGTCCAACGAGATCTAACTGGTCGCTTGTCTAACGGAAGTGTGGACCGTGAAGATGTTGGTGCGTGCTCGTTGGTCCTTCCCGTTCCTTCCTGAAAAACCCAGATTCTTATTACGAGCATTCTGTCCGTCGTATCAATCGCGTCATTCAGGGTGCTATCCTCCGCTTTCAGGTGCGCTATCCCTTGGACTTTCATCTTTCTTGCTGACTATGCAGGTTACCTCCACCGCTACCAGAGACCTTGTTTTCGATGGCTACCGGACGTTTATTGCTTCGTGCCAACATCCCTCCATTCTTGGTCAATTCATCTCGTTGGCCGAAGACTCCGGTGTTCTATACCCTGCTATTATTGTTGCTGCCG